AAATGTCAAGTGTGGTAGTAATTTTTTTTATTGTCCTTTTTATATTTTAAATTGCATACACATTGAAGTTTGCGTAAGTAGAACTTTTAACGAATAAATTCATATCAAGATTAAAACAAAGGTTAATCGTTCTTTGTTGTAAACCATTTACGGTGGGTAATTTTTAAGTAAAACCAAAATATTATTATAATAAATTTTATTAAAAAATAGATTTTAATTTCACGATATCGTTAAATCTAATTGTTTAGTTTTATTATGGTATTGTTTATTTATTTACAATTTTTTCGGACGTTTCTTATCTTTTTTTAATCATTTTTACTAGTAGAACAAAAATGTTGTTTCTAACCATTGTCGTTGTTGTGAACGATGACAAAGTGTTAAGGATAGTTGAAGCATAAGTGATTTGGAACGTCGGACTATTATAGAACGGTCTAGGTACATTGTCGAAAACATTGGACCGGTTTTCTATCTATCTATCTATTTATCTATCTATCATTAGAGTTCTTCGTTTCGAATTCATTCCCACTTTCGCCGCCATTTTCTTCATGTATAATATAAAATTGTATACAAAAATTCTTATTCATGTGTTTATATAATTTTTTTGGACGTATATATTTTTTGTAAATTTCGATTTTGTGTAAAATTGCATTTTAGTGAATGTATTATTTAAAAAAAGTATTTATATATATATTAAGTATTGTATGAATATTAAATAAAATATATCGTAGATCGCATAATCGATGAAATAGATGTAAAAACATATGTCTTACTTTGGCAAACTAACAAAATATTTTGACTACTAGGTCGTTGAGTAATTGTTTGTTGCACATTGCAACAAAAAGTGTTTTTGTATAGGTCATTATTGTAGTGACTATGTAGTATAATGATTAATAACTAATTAGGAAACTATGACAAAACAAATATGAAATAAAAAACAATATATTTGTAAATTATTGTATTCTCCAATGTCAGGATATTTTAAATCTCAAGTCTCTTTATGCCGTTTCATTGATTTATAGGTTATGTTCAATGCGTTACATAATGGCCGAATGAGTAAAGAAGATGTCCCCGAGATATATAAACCCGAACATAAAATTGTAAAACTGGAGGTGGGTTGTATTTAACTGTACTAAGAAATTTTATGCGTTTGTGAGGGTATATTTAAATTGTCTTGTTAGAAGTGTGAAATCAATCGATGCTAAATTTGGCTTACGTTCAAGAGTTCTTTAACCTTCCAAGGTAAGATTTAAAAGGCAAGAATGAATAAACCAATGTCTCTATTAATTAATAAATTTAATTAAATATTAATTGCGTAATATGTCACATAAGTTCCTATGGTGTATCTTAAAATCAATTTTTATTTTGTCTCCAGTTATTAATTTATTCTTTAAAGATGGTAAGATTTAATTGTTCACAATCTGTACACAATTAATCTAAAAAGAGTAATTGATTTTTAGAAATAATTAGAATCATTTCTGATTCATCATAAATATAAAATTTGTTAGAATCAAATTCAATAATCTCTCGTCAAAGTTATTTGGAAAATTTTTAAACGAAATTCTAATAATATTCTTCTAATGTTAAGTCAGAATATTGTAGTAGTTACATATTTTGGAAAACTCGTAAAGACTCCTTTGGCCGTGTAGAAAATGAAAGAGTGTGAGTGAGTTTAAGTATAAACGACTCGTGACACACGAATCATTCGAAAAGCGAACTCGTCGTCTGTGCGTGGCACGGTATGACATGTGACTCGAGTTCCTCGTGGTCACTCACGTGCTATTCATAACTCAAACTCCAAGTATTTTCTTCCAAAGATTTAACAAACGTTCAAAGAAAACTTACTTTCTACATATTCATCAATCTATACACATAATATATATATATATACACATACATACACCTAATAAAATATTACATAATCAAAAAAATAAATTGAATGAAAACACTAATTAAATGATTCAAACAATTTGGTTAGACAAATATACCTCTCTTTTTTGCTTCGGGCGCCATATTGTTTCTCCTAGAATGCTTTAAGGTACGCCATTATACAAATAGTTAACTAATTTGAAATATCTTTTTTCTTAGAAGTTATTTTCGATTAGTTTTGATTAATAATAAGTAATATTTAATAATTAGCAATTCAAATAGTTTCTGTAGAATTTTCTGTCTTTTTTTTTTTTTTGAATCTACGTGTTTGTAAAAGAGATTAAAGTTATGTGCATGGAAAATGAGTTAGAAAGAGAGAAAAAGAAGAAGAAAAGAAAGAGAGGTGACGCCCCGCATATAACGTAACGTATTTTAAAAGTTGTGCGTTATTACTGGCGGCATTGGTTAGAATTACGTAACACCAGAGAACGCGTCATTCGACGCCCGAGGAAGGTCTACGATCTGCAGCACGTGCAACCTGCAAGAACGACCACCACCGCGCTTTGACGTCGCGTGGACAGAATTCCCGTATTCCTTTTTTTCTCTTTTTTTATTCTTTCTATTTTCCCTCTTTTTATCCTTTTGTTTTTACTTTTCTCCTTTGTCATCCCTTTTCTCTCAAACTCTTTGAACCGATCGCAATTTCGCTGACTGAGCTACTAACTCCTTAAGAATCTTATTTCTACATCACATATACAGGGTGTCTGTCCAAGTTTAGAACACCTTTATGTATGTATAGTAGAGAAATAAATATATTATATATGAGTGTGTGTATAGAAATTAAAAAATATGATATTAGGATCCCATTGTTTGGAACAATGAAGGGTACAAATGTTTATAGAATTTTGTTTCTATTTATGGGATTTAATTCTATGCAGTATTTTATCTTGTCTTCTAATATTCATTTATTATATATTTGCATAATTGAAAATATGTTTCAAATTCGATTGATATTAATAAAATATATAAAAATAAAATAAACGATTATTCTAGTTTATGCTTAAATATTCGTTTCTTAATTAAAGTATATTTTCTAATGAATTTTGTGTTGGCTCACTCAACGTCTTCATTATCGACTAAAATTAAATATCTCATTTTCACATCCTTCTTGAAGTATACTTTTATCACATTCTGTAGTATAATGAGTAAGATAAGAAATATATATCAAGATATTCCTTATTCAATGACATTTTTTCATTTATTCTTTTGCATACTCTTTATATGTTTATAAATAACTTACTAATGATTTATTTAGAACAAAATTAGCTTTAAAAAGAAATACAAAGAAAAGGATTATCATTGGTATACAATACGAGCATAAAACTTCCTCCTGTTGTTTTTATTTCTTCATCAAAATTAAATGAATTAAATAAAAATAATATTACATAACATGTGGATTATGTTTTATGCACATAAAAAAAAAAATTTGTCTATTTTTATTTGTCTTACAAAAAAAATTAGGTGAATTAGATGAAAATAAAATGAGATTTTGTTGCTTATGAAAATAACTTTTCTGAGGCCTTTCTTTGTTGGATTCATTGTTCCAGATAGATATTTTCTTAAACTAAAAGAGAGTAGAGAAATAGGAAAAGAAACGCAAAAGAGAGAGAGAGAGGGAGAGAGAGAGGGTGCTATGGATCGATGTGTGCTGTCGCGAGATGGTCTCGCAGTCGAACGTTTCTGACGATCTTAAGCGTGTCTTTACTACTACACACACAACACGGGTCCCATAAGGATATGTTTATATTTACATGGATAAACGTAAAACTCGACAGATAAACTCGTTCTCAAGGACGTAAACATATATATATATTGTTCTTTCTATTTTTCTTTCTTACCTTTTAATGTAAGAGTGGGGTTGTTTTTTGAAACAAAAACTTACGTCGTAATCTTTGTCTAAGTGCTTTAATACTTATTAAAAATTATAAAACATTGAGAAGCTCGTTGGTATCAAAGAAAATTGTATTAACCTGTCCTAGTGACACTATTCTCTTTTTTTTCTTCCCTTTCTCTTGTCACATTCTCATTCTATGTATGTATGCATAACATATATATATATATATATATATATATATATACATACACGGACGTGTAATACATGTATACAAACAACGTATGGGAAAATATTGAATCTTTCAACTTGCGGAATTGAAAAATTGAATAAATGTAATAAATGTAGAAACAAATTGTTGGTAATAAAAAAAAAGAGACAAAAGGAAGTAAGGAAAAAGAAAAAAGAAATATGTAAGGTACATTAGAAATGTGTCGTCCTTATCGTATCGATCATTACATCTCTTGCTTACAACGTTTTAATAAAAATGATTTGTGGAGATGTCGAGTCTAAGAATAAGCCATTTCTCGACTAGATTATATTATTTTAATGTTCGATATCCAACACATTTATGAATGTAATGTATAAACGACATTATCGACATATAATCGTATTATCTCGTAATAGGAAAGTTCAGATCGTTATTTTATTGTTTTAAATGGAATATGGGATCATCGAAGGGGGTTCAAGGAAAACATTTGACATTGATGAATGAGTAGGAGGTGGAAAATTTATCGGAAATATTTGATAGAACGAAAGATGTATACTTATTCATGGTTAATACGTGAAATGTTTAAAGAAGAAAAGAGAAAAGGTGAAACTACAAACAACAATATCAAAGATTAAAGAAAGAAATGAAGATAAGAATGAAATAAATAAATGAACTGGATAKATTATAGAAAGGAAGTAAAGGTAGAGAGAGAGAGAGAGTATCGCAAAGGCGAGGCAATATCTGGTTGAGAGCGATCGATGGCCCGGTCGGACGTCGGGTAATTCGCGAAATATGGAGAAAGGTGAGCAAGTGAGTGAGTGCGCGCGCGCGCGCGCAAGCTCGTGCTTGCGTCTTCTGCGAGAAGGGTGTACGGAAGAGAATCTCGTAAACGAAGAGACGACGACGACGGCGACATACACACACACATACATACACACATACATACATACACGAGGTGGGTATTATGGAAAGGGTTATGTCAGACCAAATTATTGTCTAGGAAAACTATGAAGAGAAAAAATGCAGACTCACCACCAATACTTAGGGTTCTCCATCGGGTCTTCCGCTTGGAGCCCTTCTTGCCCATTTCTTAAAAAGACCGTGACTACGGTCTTTTAAACCTCCTATGCCCTTTCGTTTTTCTTCGATTTCTTTTTATTTCACTTTATATTTCTGTCTTTCTTCTTTTTTCTATCAGTCTTCCTCTTTCTCTCTCTCTCTCTCTTTTTCTCTTTACATTAAAAGTTTTGTTGAAATAATCATCTTGGTGGATCGCTTTTGCACACCACTATCTTCTATTATTCGGTAACATCTTTTCAAAAGTAATTTGAATAAGCATCGAACTCTTTACGCGTACGATTATCTTTTATTTTGACAGACTATTCGATATCTATGAGAGAAATGTCTAAGAGAAAAGAAGAAAGAAAGGAAAAAGAAAAAAACGTACGTTATCAAATCGTACCCGAGTGAGAAACAACGAATAGTTTCACGGAACGATCTCTCATGGCATAGACCAAACCGCTCGAACGGCGATCGCACACTGCGCTCCCTGCTTTGCCCCTATTCACTAACTCCCCACCCGTTTCTATCGATGCTCTTTCATCTCTCTTCATCCCCCATTGCATCCTCTCTCACTCACTCTCATACTGTTTCTCTCTCATTCTTACTGTCACTCTGCCTATCTCAACATTTGTAAATATTCACATATTTCTTTCATTCTTGTATTTATCTAAGGTTTTCTTTTAATGTTTTTTCTTTTATTCTTTATCGAAATTGAAAGGACATTTCGTTGACGTAACCCACAAACAAATATATTTTATTTATTATCACGTATTTTTCCTCCTTCAAGATTCTTTTACTATTTTCATTTTGAATTGTTCTAATTGTTGCATTTTTTAATGAGAATACATAATATCGTTTGACATACCAGTTCTGAAATATTTTCTACGTAGAAATAATGTGTTTTAATTACTTGATTTAATTGTAAAATCTTAAAGGAGCTGGTATTGAGATAATTGGATAGAGACGGCACTGGTCTTACTGTAGCGGACGCGTATCAACAGTCACGCCTCTACAGACCACTCATACAACTACACTCAGACGGTAAAACAGACAAACAACACATAAAACAAAAGAGAACAATAGTAAATGGTAATATTACACACTACACGCGACACGCTACACAACGCAACAACGCATCACATTCACCACGTGTTCCCTAACTTAACTATCTTAACTACTCATTGTACATATGTGATATAGTTTTATTAATAAAGTTCTCCGTTATACGTTAATCATTTTGTATATCTTTATCTCGTGGTATTGATAAGAAGAGATACCACATTACGGTTTCAACAGTACCATCTATCGGTATTCTAACGACACACTTTCTAATTGATTTGAATTTGATAGAAAATATTGAATATTGATAAAAATTTTTTTTCTTTCCATTCATTATTTTTGTTTTCTTTCTTTTTAATGTATCACATTTATTCGGATGATGCATATTCATTTACAATAATTTGAATAATTTAAATATAACGTTGTTTTTATCAGCTATTGGTTTGAGACTTTCAATTGGTGTTCCTTTGAAACACCAGATGGTGCAGAAGATCGTAAAGAAAAATTGATTAGGTGTTTACAAACGTGTTAATTCTATTTGAAATACTTACATTAATTAATTGTTTCATCCTTACCGGATAAAAGTGTCAAAAATAGCGTTTAGGGCATTCAATGTATCAGGTATAATTCTTAACTAATATTAACAAATAAAATTTTATTTTAAAGATGAAACTTCAAATATGAAAACGGTTAATTTAAAATTTTTTCAAAGCTAAATTTTATACATTAATAATTCTTTGAAGGACAGTATTGTTTAACACGTTCCATGCCAAACCCTTTTTACCTGACTTGCCACTCAGGCCATTTAACTTTGCTTTAACAAAATCAACCATTACATGTAATTATTAATTATTGTAAATATAACAATTAAACAAACTTATGTGCTTTGTTTTATACTACATTCTGTATAATGCATTAATATTTTAATAGGAATATTTTAAATTTGTTATAAACATATATTTTAACCGTATTAAATAAATGTGTCTAATGGTAAGTGTATCATCGGTGATACACGTGGCCTGATGAACAAGTTTAACGTGTACCACCGGTAGTACACGTAGCACGGAATGTGTTAAAGCTATTTTTGCTAAAGAAAGGCTTTTTTAAAATTTTGAATTAATTGTTTTAATGTTTAAGTTTTTATTTTTCAAATGAGATCTTCTTCGTCAAACCTGAACTGTTGATTAATAATTGTGTTTGATATGACCAGCGACAAAAATACTGTTTTCGAAATTTTTTGTAAAAAATAAGTCTTGTATGTTGGAGTCTCATGAAATTTGATAAAAAGAAAAAGATCCTACATTTGATATTTCTTCGATTATCGAAATATATCGAAATAGTATTATTTCGTGTTTAGACAAGTGATCATGAAAGCTTTCTTCCCCATGCAAGTAAACTTTAATTGATTAAACTAGTCAACAAAATTTTTACTTTCAAAGTCATTAGTGCGTAAAAACGATGAAATAATTACTTTAGAATGAACAAAATGCTTAAGGCCGAACGTTATAATCTTGAATTTTCTTTATTAGAATTATTATTTCCGTTGCACACATGCTCAATATAAACAAAATTCGTATAAACAACTTTCTAATCAAAGTTTTGTTATAGAGAACAATGGGTCAGTCCATAAGTAAATTTCGAAGAGGAAGGTACTCCGAAAATATATTCCGTACTTTAAAACAATAATCGATACTTCTATCGATTAATTAATTATTATAATATTCTTATACACTCTACTTATATTACAGCATAATTTAACACTCGAAGTCATCACTGCACATGAACAATAAATTAATTACGTTAGAATGAATAAAGTAATAACATTTGAACGTTATAATATTGAATTTTCTTTATTAGAATTATTATTACCGTTGGACACATGTTTAACATAAAACAAAGTCATATAAACAACTTTCTAATTATGTTTTGTTTTAGAGAACAACGGCCCAGTCTCTAAGTGAATTTCGAAGAGGAAGGTACTCCGAAAATATATTCCGTACTTTTAAACAATAATCGATAGTTCTATCGATTAATTAACAATTATTATAATATTCTAATACACTCTACTTATATTACAGCATTATTTAACACTCGAAGTCATCACTGCGTATGAACAATAAATTAATTACATTAGAATAAAAAGAATGTTAAAATCCAAACGTTATAGTCTTAAATTTTCTTTATTAGAATTATTATTACCGTTGGACACATGTTTAACATAAAACAAAGTCATATAAACAACTTTCTAATTATGTTTTGTTATAGAGAACAACGGCTCAGTCTGAAGGGAAATTTCGAGGAAGATGGCCCACCTAACATATACACAGTGCTTTTAAACTACAATACGAATTCTTTTCGATTATTTAACACTTATTTCATTATTCTAATACACTTTAATTATTTTTCAGATTGTTTCAACGCATATACATTGGTTTAAACGTTACATACCTATTAACATACTTTGAATAGAAAGTAATTTTAATATGAATTTATTTTTTCAGTTTATCAGATAACTGTCGTCAACTTGATTGCATTTCTGAATCGGAAGGTAATATAAAATACTTCAATTACTTACATTGAAAATAAAATTGTATTAACATTCATGAAAATTTCTGTTTCAGAAGTGGTTTAATGGGTAGCGGGTAAATTTTTTGTTCGTAAAGGGTGGTACCATTTACGAATAAAGAATTTACTTCAGGCATGCGACCCTGCCCACGCGAGTCATGATTCCATCTTACTCCCAAGGATAGAATCATGTTCATTTAACTATTAAACTGGAACTATCGTCTTTATTTATTTATTTTTTTTTTATTTTTTGGCTTTTTGATATGCATAGTTAGATATGCATTTAGCATGGGAAACTAAAGCTTCATTGTATGGAAAGGCATCTTCCGCTAATTGTTAGACGGACCCAAGGATTATTTTCCGTAAGTTCGCTGTTAGTATTGGTGTTAGACTGTACCTTGGAGTGTAGGTTTCTCCTAAATTTAGCGTCAGTGGACTAGTCCAATCGGGGGGAAACCACTTAAAAAAAAAATCGTGAAAAGTTCCGTTTTAAAAGTTATACCCATCCCCCCTTTTTTGTTTTTTTCCCATCTGTTGCAGATTGGACTATGGTAAGGAAACGACCACAGGTGGACCAAAGGAGGACCATAAAGGAACAAGAAGTGGACTTGGTAATGTAGGATAGTATAAAATAATTATTTGTATAAATAAAATGAAAATTTATATCTTTATATAATTCTATTTGTAGCATCGCACATGCGTGATCATTATTTTTAATGTATTTTCTTTATTTATGGGTTCCATAGAACAACTCATAATTGTATACTCTTTTTAATTATTATACTTTATTTTATGTATATTGAAAATTATGTATGTAAATGTATATAGATTGTATTTCTATAAGTTGAAGTTATTCTAGGGTGTGTTAGTTTTAAGTATCATCGATGATTCTATTGAATTTCTTTTCAGATTACACTCCTTGTTTATCATTTTGTATTTTTTAGTATTGAAATTTTTCTCTGGTATTTTCGATAATAATTTTAACGATTTTTCGGATGGTACTCTTATGGTGGGGACTAAGAGTTAGATTCGTCCTTTGAATTGTATTCGGATGAGAGCATCTTTATGATGCACATCCCTTTTGGGTCTTCAGAAGCGGTTACCTCCTTGTGGTTAGACCCGGGCAATGGTATTTTACTTTCTGTGTAATGTTGATCATATTTTTATATGCTCTACATTCCATGGCAAGTAAAATCTAGCTAAAGACCGCTTATCATTAATATTATAATAATAATTGGTTTCTTTCATTTTCCTAATTAATATCATATTCACATTCCTCTCATTGTTTTCCCTTAAATATTTACCTTCATATTATATTTCACATAATAATACTCGATTTATTTTGTAGTAACTT